ATTTTGTTTGGAAACCTTACCCCATCCACCCTACAGCCCTAATCTTGTTCCTTCAGACTACTTTTAGTTTCCAGAATTTGGAGAACACTGAAAAGGAACATACTGTAACTCAGAGAGCCCAGAAGTCTCCAGGGAAGAGTTAGAGAGATGAAAACCCTGCCTTCAGACATATGTAAGCCCCGATGGAGGATGTGTGGAGAAACAATAGCTTCATATTTTGGTATTTTCCAGAAGAAAGGTTTCCGGGATTTTTGTAGGGATAAGTTTTCCTTACACTTGTCTATATTACTGGTCATATTTGTGGATTGCAGGCTAGTTAATTTGTGTGATGCGCATACATTTGAGTTTGTCATATCTTTCCAAATGATCACATTAGGTTTTACATTTTTGGTACAAAAATAACAAAATGGAATCTATTAAAGGGTTGTTGTTGTTGTTAAATGCCATCGAGTCGATTCTGCCCCATAGCGACCCTGTATAGGTTTCCCAAGGAGCAGCTGGTGAACTTGAACCACCGATCTTGCAGTTCAAAGGAGTTTGCAGTGTGACGAATTAGCCCACAGAGCCACACCAGGGGTAAACAGCATCAATTTGGGACTCCTGGTGTGGTATCGTAGGATAAACACTGGTCTGCTAAGCACAAGGTCCGTGGTTCAAACTCACCAGCCACTCCTTGGAAACCGTATGCAGGTTTGGCACTGACTTAACAGTACTTAACAACAACTATAAAGATCATCAATTTGTAACATTACCAATAATGTTCAGTGTAATTTCTTGAATAAGCTAGAGTCTTCCAAGTGCCTCAATAGTTAAAGCACCCAGTTAAAGCCACCAGTTGAGTGCCTGGTATGTTGTCATTGGTTCCATACAGCACAGGTTCTATTAAGCAAAGGACATAGTAACAGCAGTGTGACTTGAATTTTTTTGTTACTTATGTTCCCTAAATTATCCAAGAAAAGGTGTAGAAGTAAGCAGCCCACTTGAATTTGCATAAGCACCGCCAGATGGGATGCCTCCTAGAGGTACTGCCTCTTAGAAAGTAATAGATGAGAAAGGATAACATTTTTTAAAGTTCAGGCTCTGATTTTCAATGTTAGTCAAGTAGAAATCTCATTTTGTATTCGTATTCTCTTCTCAAATGTTATCCAAGCACAAGGATGATTTAAAAGGAACTGATTTTTCACCAACTCAAATGTAAATAAAAGAAAGTTAGTAAATTAAGAAGTCAGCTGACTTGGGCCAGTTAAAGCGTAAAGATTTATGAAGGCAACTGTCAGTAAAGAAAGATGATGCCACAGAGGAAGAACTCCTCTAATAAAATCGCTGGAATGTATTTGGAATGGAAATGGAATGCTGGGGTCTTTAAGAAACGCATATAAAAGCATAATGCTCTCAGTAGGGAGAACTGTGAATGAACCCAAGTTGCTCTCCAGAATTCATAATGCACAATCACCACTCTGCAAAGGACAGGGAGGAAAAAGCATGATTGTTGTAAGGAGACTTGGTGGTCCCATTGTTAAGCTTTCAGATGCTAATGGAAATGTTGGTAATCTGCTTCTATAAAGATTGTTGTTGTTGTTGTTAAGTGCTGTCACATTGGTCCCCACTCATAGTGACCTTGTATAGGATTTCCGAGGCGTCACTGGTGCCTGTGGGGCAGTTACAGTCTGTCATATGGGGTTATTATCAGTCAGAATTGACTCGGTGGCACCTAACAACAATATCATCAGGCAGAGAGCAGCTTTGCTCTTTGGGAGCCTTCTGTTTGGAGAATCCATTAACTGGCTCCATCACTGTTGCTGTTAAACGTTGCCAATTTAGTTCCAACTCATAGCAAACCTGTATAGGGTTTCTCAGGAGTGGCTGGTGAGTTTGAACCACTGACTTTGCCGTTCAAACTGGCCTAGTGGTCCACAGCAGGATGCCACGGCTCTGCCATTAGTCAAGCCATATTCCTACCACCAACATGAGCCTTGGTGAAGGCCTCAAACTGAGAACCACTAGGAGGCTACGGATTCACCTGGAAGTCTGGGTACTTTAGTCTGTAACGCAGGCCATTAGTATAAGGCTGATGGTGTCTGAGAACAGCACACCACTTGGTTCTGCCAAAGCACGTTGGCTGGGTACGTGGCTATGAGCTCATTAGACTGGCATGGAGTCAGTATCATGACCTTGTGTTATTTAGTCTCTGACTTGGCTCTAAGAACACGGATGAGGAAAGCCAGACTGAGATGAAGCTTTCTGCTCCCATAAATATTTACAGCCTCAGAAACCCTGTTCAGGGTCGCTATGGGTCGGAACAGACAATTCTAGGATTCTTGGGCTTCCCTTGAGTATGTCAGCATCCCTTAGAGTTCCTAGAACCACTACATACAGTTGACCTGTCCCTATATTCTTAACTTACTCCCTTGAAGAAGCTCTGAGCCAGAGCAGGTCTGGGTGGACAGGACCGAAGGCTCCGGTATTCCTCCGGGTTTGCAAATTGGAAGGGTTTGGTATTCACTTTGGGGTTCATGGGAGCCAAGTGAGATTTTTTAGTTTCCCCAGGTTGTAGACGTTCTAGTGTGACATGGTAGGGTAAGTACGAGACTGTTAACCACAAGGGCGGTGGTTCAAACCCACCAGCTGCTTCTTGGAAACATAGGGTCACTATGGGAAAGCAGCTCATTTCTGTGGTGACTGTTATAAAGGTTGCCGGACATCTTCTTTCAGAATTTGTAGTGTTGAGATTGTCTGTCTGCACAAGACAGTTCTCGTTTAGTAAATACCTTAATTCAGCTTGTTTACCTAAATGGTGGGGAAGTGGTGCTGATGTATATATTTATCAAGGTCCCTGATTTCATCCTTTTAACATTTCTTAGCACGTTCTGGTTGGTGTCTCTTCCAGTGGTCTGTCCTGTAATGCCATTTGCAGTAGGTTAGTCTGGGCCCTTTTCCACTTAGAGTGATTACCCCATTAATAGAAAGGCAACCTTTGAAATCGGTTCGTAAGAGGCAATCAATTCTCTGTCTTTTCTTTTGACAGAAATGACTATATTTCTTGCAGGAAACAAAATCACTTAGACACTCCTGAATTATCATCAAACTTGTAGGACCTACAAGTTGTAAATGTTACATTTCACAGATTTTGCTCTAAAACTAAAAGTCAGATGCCAGGTGTGGAGAGAGCATGAAACGAAACAGAAGTAAGCTATTTTAGTGGGAGATTTCGCCTCTTCACTGACCTGTATATGACAGATGGTGGAGTAAACCAGTAGCAGATAGAAAAGCACTTCCATGCTAATTAAGTAAGGCCAGCAGTCATGACCTGAGTGGACATTGAAATATTACTGCCTTTTGAAATTGACAGAATATATGATATTCCTCCTTTGTTTTATCCTATGATGATCACAATGCTAGATGTTTCATTTTTTCCAGCCTTTTTCCCATTGATTAAGCAAACAAGGCCATTAAAAAAAAAATTCTTATTCTCATTTTCAAACATTTAAGAGAGAAATCCTCAATCTGAATCATCCTTTCCTACTGGTGGCACTTTGTGTTAGACATTAGGCTGCTAACCACTAGGTTGGTGGTTCAAACCCACTAGTCGTTATTCTCAGGGAGAAAGATGAGGCTATCTGCTCCTGTAAAGATAAACCATCTCAGAATGCTACACAGGATCACTATGCGTGCGAATTGACTCAAAGACCATGCACTCTCTCTGCAGCTTGCCCCTAAATTTAAAACACTGAAGAGAGAACTCACTGAGATGGAAGTGAGCTTCCAACAGACCACCATTTCCCTGGAAAGATGATTTTTCAGTTAACCTAACTCCAGACATCGTGACTGCCTCTCCTTAGCTGAGCCTGTTGCTCTCGGTGGGTGTCTCAGTTCCCTACGAGATGAAGATACAGACATTTGGAAAGTGAAGTAAAATTTCACTGCTGACTCATGCTTACTAGTCTACCAAGTTAGAGGATGAAGATTCATGTCCCTCCAGACATACCTCAGAACAAATATCTGGTGGTTGACTTTGAAAAGCAATCACTGAAAACCTGTGGAGCAGGCTTACTCTAACACACATGGAATCACCATGAGTTGGATTGAGTCAACAATTGTGTTTTTTTTTGTGTGTTTTTTTTTAATATGCTCTAGACAGAACATTCCAGAGTGTATCAAGCTTCAAACATCCATACTTACACACTCAAACACTTAGCTATCAAAACACCAGCTTTATAGAACTTCAGAAAAATAAGTAAGTCAGTTCACAGAACTTGAAATGAAATAGACTTCTAATCAGGAACCAAGTTTGCTTTTCTGATGAACTTTGTTTAGTTCACCCACACATGGGGATCCGTGAAGTAGTTTACTAGATTTCCAGGAAATTATTACTTCACCAACACCATTTTTTCTTTCTTTTGTAGTTTAACGTAAATAAACGACCTCTTGTTTCACATGTTGTGAAGGTTCTGCACTTTATGTTGTTGTGAGGTGTCTTCAAGTAGATTCCAACTCAAAGCGACCCTGTGTGACAAAGTAGAACTGTCCCAGATGCGTTTTCAGGCAACATTGTTGGTATAGTGGTTTAGCCCTCAGCCGCTAAGTGAACGGTCAGTGGTTTGAACCCACCAGCTGCTTCACAGAGGAAAGTTGTGGCTGTCTGGTTCCAAACAGATTGCAGTCTTGAAAACATTTTGGGGCAGTTTGTTCTGTATTACAAGGTCACTATGAGTCAGAATTGACTTGAATGGCTATGAATTGGCTTTCTTTTTTGAAGTTTAACCCTTACAGTCTTTCTTCTACAGAGCTGTTGGTTGAGTTCAAAGCAGATGACTGCTTAACCATGTCAGTCACTGGGACTCCTTTTCTGCACTTTATACAAATAACAGATTGGTGTCCAGATTGCTATCCATTGCTGAGGATCATGACCCAAGCCTCCCATCTTTGTTTTTCTAATGAAATGACGGGTGAGAGAGCCATTGTTGCAGAGCTTTCAAGGGCTGCCTTCTTCATCTCCCTAGGTGACGACTGTGACACTGACATAAATGAATGTGACAGTAGCCCCTGCCATCACGCCGGAACCTGCCTGGACCAACCCAATGGCTACACCTGCCACTGCCCACATGGGTGGCTGGGAACCAATTGTGAAATCCGTAAGTGTTTTGGAGGCTCCCCCATTGTTGTTTATTATTACACTTTCATCCAATGAGAAGAGGAGGTGAACCGTGGGCACCTAGCCCCTTGCCTTATGTTATAGCCGAGGCAGTGAGGTCTCAGGAAGCACCCGGTTGCCCACGTCTCCCAAACCCCCACTCAGTCCTTGTGCTCCTTGCCTTCTGCTGTTCCCACTGCTTCCTGCATCTAACTCCAACCTTTTCACCAGGAAGCTTATTTGCAGATGTCATCCAGAGTTCACTGCCACTAAGACAGTCACAAATGTGCTCAACAGAGGAACATTAACATCGTGTCAAAATACAGTCTTTCTGTTGAAAATCTAAAAATCTATAGCAGGCCAGAATGTACATGCACTTAGCATGAATGTCTTCATGTAGCTCCAGATGCATTTGTTTCATGTCGTGTCTAGAGAATAGTCCAGTGAGGACAATCTGAAGAGAAAAATCTGAAAAATAAATCAACATGTTGAACTGCCTAGAGGTTCATGTTCTGTCAGGATGAAATTTCAGAAGTTTGAAAATGTCATCAAGATTTTACATGTTTAAAAAAAAAAAAAAAAATGTGCCGATGGTAATTGAAGTGGGAATGAAAACTGACCCGGACTTGCTATTTCGGTTGTTTGATAAGCTGTGAAAAATTCAACCTTCAAAGGTTTTTTCCCTTTTCTTTGCTTCATCAGGGCAGGGTGGTCTTTCAGAGCACAAGAAAAGTACACACATCAGTTGGGGTTGGGGTTATGCCTTCCCAGTTGTAGAACCTTCTTTCCATGAAACAGGCTTTGCAGAAGTGTGACCTTCTGGCTTCTCTCAGCACATCCATTACTCTTCCTCAGATAAGGACAGCATATCTGCTGTGGGAGTTTGGGAGAAGACACTAGACACTGTCTGTCTGTCTGTCTGTCTGTCTGTTGGGATGGGATGGCCTGTCTTCTGTGTCTGCTCCCCATGTTCTGAGTATTACCGATGGGGCTTGTCACTAGGGTTCCCCTGATGCCTGTGACTGGAAGGGTGTGTTAGATTCTCAGAGTGTGTGTGTGGGTGAGGAGCTGTCTCCTGCTAGGGAACCACCACCATCACCTTGGTCAGAACCAAAGACACCTTTGTGACTCTTATTGGCTCACTTCTCTGTCTTCTCTCTTGGTTCAGAACTTGGGGAAAGGAAGAAGGTAATTATTTTGAGGTTTCACCTTCAGCCTTCCAAAATGATCCCATACTGCATGCTCTCAAGACCAAATTTCCCTGGAAAAGATAAGTGAAAAATCTTCTCTCATTGAAGTGAGAGCTAGGAGAGAAAAGGATTTCAGTGGTGGAAATGCTAAGGCTATGTTTTGGTGTCGGGTGTCAAGATTAGAAGTCCAGTTTGAGTAGACGTGTTGATCAAAAGTTTGAGTAGATATATTGATTGAAAACATCTATAGAATGTTGGTTTTTTGTGCCTTCTCTATGTGACTACACTTAGTCATGCTGAGCTTCAGTTTACTTCTCCATCCAATGGGAACAGGTGTCATTCTGAAGACTGGTAATACTATGAAATGATAAAATATGTGCCTTGATGCAGTTTATTACGCATATTTATAGCTTATAGAATCTTATTTATGAGGATAAGCTTATAGGAGTACCTGGATATGAGGGCTAGTGAGGGACACAACGATTAAGTTGCCTGCAAGGAGTTTTGAAATAAGAGTCTGTAATTATTATTTTTTAAATCTAAAATTTGCTTCATCCAAGTGATGAATAATATAGGCAAAAGATATACAATGATAGGATAATTTAAAATATCAAAGTTGACTTCAAATTCTAGCTCTACCATATGCTAGCTAATTAGCTATATGTCCTTGTTGTTTTTGTTAAGTGCTTCTCATAGCAATCCTGTATAGGCTTTCCAGGAAGTTGCAGGTGAGTTTAAACTGCTGATGTAGTGGTAAAAACCAACCTTGTGGTCCAGTGCTTTATTCCGTAGTACCACACTAAGTCCCTAGACCAACAAATTTACCTCTCAGGCTCTTCTATTTCTTGTTTGTAAATGGTGAGACAGGAAGACTTCCCATTCAGGTTGCTGAGAGGATTCTATGACCAAACATGTCACCACAGTAAGTATTCAATAAATGTTGGTTGTCTTTTCTTTTGAAATTACCATGATTCTTACACTATGTACCAATCCTGGGGTATAAGAAGGTGAGGACTAACCTTTCACCGTTATCCTCATAGAGCCTACCAGCTGAGTGATCTCACCCACGGAACTTGACCATCCTAGGTTCAGTGAGCCCGTCAGACATGTCAGTCAACACCCAACCTCTCTGCCTAGAGAAGCACTTGCTTCTGGTCATTCCATTTGCACTTCTTTATTAGACCAACTCCACAGCTCACCTGTCAGTTTGTCATACTGTGGTGTCTTGTATGTTTCTGTGTTTCTGGAAGCTCTTCCATGGATATTTTAAATACGAGCAGGTTCACCCATAGTGGACAGGTTTCAGCTGAGCTGCCAGATGAAGACAGACTAGGAAGATGGAGAGACGGACTACTTCCAAATATTTAGTCATGGAAAACCTTATGAATAGCAGTGGAACATTGTCAGAACCATATTATTGAATATTGAAATATGATGAAGAAAAGAACACTAGAATATTGTCAGATATAGGGCCGGAAGTTGAGTCCCTCATGTTGGAAGGCACTCAAAATATGCCTGGGGAAGAGCTTCCCCATCAAAGTAGAGTTGACCATGATGATGCGAATGGAGTAAACACTTTTGGGATCTACATTTGCTGATGGGGCTCAATTCAAAATGAAGAGAAACAGCTGTAAACATCCATTAATAATCGGAACATGGAGTGTACAAGGTATGGATCTAGGAAAATTGGAAATTGTCAGTAATGAAATGGAATGCATAAACTTGAATATCCCAGGCATTAGTGAACTGAATTAGACTGGTACTGACCATTTTGAATCTGACAATCACAAGGTTTACAATGCTGGAATGACAGATTGAAGAGGAATGGTATCACATTCATCATCAAAAAGAACTGTCTTGAAGTACAAAGCTGTCTGTTATAGGATAATATTCATACATCTATAAGAAAGACCAGTTAATACCACTATTATTCAAATTTATGCACCAACCACTAAAGCCAGTGATGATGAAACTGAAGAATTCTACCAACTTCTTCAGTCTGAAATTGATCACACATGCAGTCAAGATGTATTGATAATTACTGGTAATTGGAATGCAAAGGTTGACAACAGAGGAAAACTCAGTAATTGGAAAATATGGCCTTGGTGATAGAAATTATGTTGGAGATTGCATGATAGAATTTTTCAAGATAAATGACTTCTTCATTGCCAATGCATTTTAAAAATAGCATAAAAGATGATTATATACATGGACCTCGCCAGATGCAATACACAGAAATCAAATTGTCTACATCTCTGGAAAAAGATGGTGGGAAAGTTCCGTATCATTACTCAAAACAAGACCAAGAGGGCAAACTGTGGAACAGATCATCAATTGCTTGTATGGAAGTTCAGGCTATGGCTGAAGAAAATTAAAACAAGACCACAAGAACCAAAATATGATCTTGAACATAGCCCGCCTGAATTTAGAGTTCATTTGAAGAACAGATTTGATGCATTAGACATCAAAAGACTGAAGACCAGAAGATTTGTGGGATGACATCAAGAGCATCATGCAGGAAGAAAGCAGAAGGTCATTAAGAAGACAAGAATGAAGAAAAAGACCAAAATGGATGTTAGAAGAAACTCTGAAACTTGCTCTACAGAGTGAGATACTAAAGCAAATGGAAGAAATGAGGAGGGAAGCAACCAACTGGCCTGAAGTAGGGGTGGCTATGCAAATACCCATTTGACATAACTTGGATGGGTAGCTGACCAGAACTCAAGCAGATGAAGATAGAGAAATTTGATTCAGGGACCAAGTGTAAATTGTTACAATTTGATGAACTGAACCTTTGCTTATGGATGTACTTGCTCAAAATTCCAACTGAAAGGGAGTGATCTTCATATCAAGGGATCAAGCTTGCCTCCTCAGTACATTGGGTTGATAGCAACTTAGAAATTGGCTATCAAAAATGGTGGGCTATAAAGGCATGAAATGGCTGGCTTACAAGTTTCCATGAGTGCACTTAGTTTCAGAACAAGGGGGCTGGGTGTAAGGTTGAATCTCCACTGAATAGTTTTCCTCTTCTCCAGATGGGTCTGGTGAAAGGAGATTGGGGAACATGAGGATAGGATTTCATGATTCAATTGTGTGAAATTGTTATCAGAACTAATTGTGTTTGTCACAACTGTACATGTAGAAGATGTGTAACTAAAAAGGGGAATAGTTACTCTTCTATTTTAAGAACAGAGGACCATAGGAGCAGCAAGAGGGAAGAGCATGAGTGGAGTATGGGATCCTAACCAAAAAAGCAGAGACAGTGGCAGAGGTGATGGCACAAAGAGCTATTGCAGCTGAGGACAGAGAAAGCCTGTGTGCCTGCTGGCAAGAGGTTAGCTTGGAAAGTGTGCCCTTTAGACATTAAAATAAGTATGTATTTTCTGTTTTGTATGTATACACCAAAAAAGGGAATACAGTAAACACTGTTAACTGATGGTACATGGAGGAGATTGTAATAATTGCAATAAAATAAAATATGATTTATTGAATGTAAAATGATAATCTGCCCTGTAAATATTCACTCAATTCACAATGAAAATTCTAATATATTGTTGTTGTTAGGTGTCATCAAGTCAGTACCAACTCATAGCGACCCTGTGCACAGCAGAACAAAACACTGCCCGGTCCTGGGCCAATCTCACAATTGTTGCTACTCTTGAGCCCATTGATGCTGCCACTGTGCCAGTACATCTCGTTGAGGGTCTTCCTCTTTTATTCTGACCCTAAACTTTACCAAACATGATATCTTTCTCCAAAGACTGGTCCCTCTTTACATATCCGAAGTATTAGAGACGAAGTCTGGCTATCC